CTCAAAAACCAACAACAGGAAAAACGCGGCCAGCAAAAACAACGAGGGCAGGCAATGAGGAAAAAGAACAACAAACAATAAGCCGAGGCAAAGTTAAACAAAGTTGGCGCACCAACTCACTCTCTTTTTCGGATCTCGGATCGGATCGACTTGGATCGGGTGGGATTGGATGGTTTTGGGATCGGGAACGGGCACAAGGGTCAGGCTAAAGGGCCCAGGCAAACAAAGGAGTGCGTTGATGTCGATGAAGACGGCCACAAAAGCGCCCCGATGCGATGATCGCTTCAGTCGGTGGTTCTCCTCCTTAGACTTCCTCGACGCGATCCTCAGCTCAGATTTACACAGCGCAAAAAAGGTATTAACTTTTCATTAATTAGTTCAGAAATTTACTAGTAATTACTATGCGTCTTGAGTTCAATTTAAGGTTTATTAATTTGTAATCAGCTAGATCTCAAAAAAAGCTCTCAAAATGTTCAACATTTCCTAAATATCTTTATTAATGGAATGGTTTTAGCTTTGAATAATAACGCACATATTTATTACTTCTTTAATATTTCTCTAAAATAAATAATAAATAACGAATATAAAATTCTTAGAAGCACTTCTACATTTAATTAAATTATGCCATTTAATATGTTTTTCCTGAGTGCAGGATCCCAACCTGAATGAGCTCGCATCCGTTGACTGGGATTCGTAGTGGGCACCCAGGCGCAGCCCCTCCCCCTCCCCACTTCCCACCTGACCTTGCTCCTTTGTTCGGGCTTTATTTTCTTATGTGTACGGCACACATGTGTGTGTTTGTGCAAACCTGACGCCCATTCGCGCGCACCTTTGGAATTCGGTGGCCGCGAACGCTGCATAATGGAAGCCAAATGATGGGAAACTTTTTTGTGGCCCCGATCCGACAGACAGACAACTTCGAAAGGAGGGGAAAGGGGGACGGAAGGGCGCAGAAAAACAAAACTAATTAGGCATAAAGTGCGTGTAATTATAAAATAAATTAAAGTCGAGCACTGACACTCCACATCGCCCGGTGGATCGATTGACCTTTTTGTAACTCAATTACGATCGTCAGATCCTCTTGGCCGAGTTGGCCACCCAGATGGGAATGGAATGGACTGCACGGAGAGAGAAGAGTGATGATTTTGACTTTATTGAAATATATAGATGTCTATAGAGGTATAAAAGGTAGTGCAAAAATATTTTAGATTATTGATATGTCAAATGTAAAAAAAAATATTTATTAAATTTATTAGTAACAACTCCCGCTAAGTTTAAGCCTTATAGACCTCCCGTTTTCGTAAGTATAAAAAACAATTTACAAATAATTTTCTGTGCATTGTGAGTCGTGGAGGGTGATGTGCAGTCCAGTCCCGATGTCCTGAGCAGCTGTCGCGTCTTTAGCCAAAAATGGCAATGTTTACATGCGTGTCGCCTTCGGCCAATGGGACACCCATATCCAATAGCTGCATCCAGCAGTATCCCAGCCCCATCCCATTCCATAAACGCTTCGCAAACACTTTTTGCGTGCTGTTAATTACATGGTCGGGAGTCTGGTCTAGTCGGTCTCAGAGGGCATTACCAGTTGCCAGTTGCGCCTCTGGTGGTCTTGGTTTGGTCTCCTCGCGGTGCTTGGTCATTGCTTCCTGGTAGCGACGATCTCAGAACTTGTCGCCCATGTTAACAGGCCGCGGCTCGATGATTGATAGCCATAGGCACTAGGCCAACAACTCAGTCATGGTTAGGGCATACAAATCAATAGCAGAGATTGAGACGAGGGACCAGCAAATTAAATAATATGGTATGAATAATAGAACTTTGTCTAAGCCTTAAAAGCAAAATATATTTCTCTCAACATGGCAAAAATATTTAATCGAATTAAAATATATAATAATAAATATAAAATACTACTTGTAATTACTGATAAAAAGAAAACTATTTGTAATTACTGATAAATAGAAGACGATTTGTAGATAATGATGATTTCTCGACTTTCAAGTAATGTGCCTGCTGATCGTAGTATTACATCTAAAACTTTAAAACTTTTTTAGCTAAGATCTCCCATGTCGCGATGCCTTATAGGGAGGCCTTTGCCCAAAAAGAGGAAACAGCACTGGGACTGAACCCAAACCCAAAGCCAAGACCAAAACCAAAACCAACTGGTGTCTGTCGTAGGTCACTTACATTTCTTTGCCTAATCCGCCAAATTCTCACGCCTCGCAACAATTGCCACTTAATTAACGCACACACACTTCGGGGGGCTGGGGTCGAAAATTTTCATTGTGGCCAAAGGGCCAAAAGAGTGAAAAATCCAGCGAGGGGGGCGGCGGAGGGGAAGCTTGAAAGTCTTGTCATGCCAAGAAGTGCGCGTGCCGGGAATGCCAAGTCAATGAGATGCCCCCATCGCGATATATTGCCCATTCCGAGCCGATCTGTTGCAATTTCCAAATCAAACAGCGCGCGAAACGTGTGGCGTCTGCAATTACAACACAAAAGAGGAGCACGGCGAGAATGGCGAGGGCACCGAAGCTGGCGGGGATCGGGGCACTACATGCTCCAAACATGACGAACAACAACTGTCATTGTCACATCCACATCAGCGGCCAAACAGTCGAGCATCGAACGCTCATGCGCAATGGCAAGCCATCGATCCGCTGATCGGTGATCAACCGACGAGCGATTGACGACCGAGCGGAGGAAGATGACCGACATGGGGATCCCGATCCCGATTCGCTTTTTTGCGGACCGTTCTCCTTTTCTTCATTTCTTTTCGTTCGATGGGTATGTCATTTTGGTCCAAAGGTTGGCGGAAAGCCATTGGAATAAAGTTTATAAGGTGTTCGCGGTGAAAATCTGAAATAGTAATTGATATGGAATTGTTATTTTGTGTTTAAATATAATTTTTAAGACCATCATATTATATCAAAACTTAAAAAATCGTAAAAAAGTGATTGAATAAAAATTATTTTAATTTTCAATTTTTCTTTTCCACGCTAGCAACAATTATGTGTTATTCAGAATAATTGCTATTTTTTAGGGTATTTCGAGCTTCGTCCCCCAAAGTTCTACTTTCTTCCCCTTTTTTTTTTTGATTTTGTATGCTGGGCAGGCTGTTTATAGTGGACGACGTTGGCGACTTGCAATTCATTAGGCCGCCTGACCATTTTTGGGATGAGCGTGCGCCGCTTTTGGTCTCTCGCCTCGGAGGACGCAACAGCAATAGCCACAATAACTGCAATATCAACAGCAACTACCATGCCAACATAATCTTAATCCGCTCGTTAGTTTTATTGATTAGGAGCAATGTCTCCTCGGACCAGACAGCGACATCGCACCAGGACTACGACTCATCGGAGACAACAATTGTCGCCTCGCGGTGCCAACTAAATAACAACAATGGCACATCACTCTCTAACTAGGCGTACTATGTGCCCCGTGGGGTTATGAGATGCGATGCCCAATAATGCCAGTAAACCCAATAGGTTGAAAGAGGCTGCCTTTGGGCAACACAGAAAGAAATGTCATGGCTGCAATTTTGTATTAAGTGAAATCGATCAAATAAAATTAAAATGTTACATTTACAAGTTTAAATTTAAGTCGACCATTGACATCGAGATAACAAATAAATTGGAATGCAGGTTGGATAGCTTGTTACTGTGTCGATAGCCCAATAACTAATATGGTTATATTTTTCAAGTGAAAGGTTATAAAGCCAATAAGTATCTTAGCTAAATATAAAAGTGTAAAGAGACCTTTTTCATAATTAAGCATACTTAATTTAAACCAATCTGATATTTAATATTTTATTTAACCTTTTTTTAACGGTGCATCGTTGAGGACAACAGAATAAATGTGAATCATTAGCCGGTCATGTGGAAACTATTCTCTAAATATAATTTGTAATTACAAATGACATAATGGGGAACTAGTATGAGTTAGAGGTACTTGTAACCTAAATGATGTCAAATGGAGAGGCTGATGATGATGTGAGGTGATTTGATCTCTGAATGAGGTGATCTACAATATTATTTTCCAAATCGCCCAGAGACGGTTTTGTTTTGCCGACGGCTTTCCAAGTGGGTTGTTTGCCACCTCAGAAAGAGTAACCGTGTCAAAGCAAACAAATAGATAAGGATCTACTTTTAGTTCAAGGTCCCTGAAAAATCACCGGCTAATCAAACATCTCAGTGGAATCCCGTTTTCTGGACGAAAAATTGTTTTCCCACCCGTATCAAAAAAATAAAAGGAGGAAAGGCGAAACAAAACTGTCAAGCACAGTGGACACATGTAGCACGATCACTTTTTTTTTGTTCTGGCGAGAGTGTGTTTAGTTAGCCCGGGTCTTCAGCTCCATCTTCATCTGTAGATCAGTAGCTGAAATCAGGATCAATGTAAGCCTCAGCCAGGCTTAGGTTTATCTTTCCCGCCTGCTCTCGTCTAGATCTGTCGGATGTCAGGTTGCATAGTTGGTCCGGCAATTGCATGTCGCGATCGTCCAGCGCCAAAGATCTACCTCAACCTGAACCTGAACCTCATCCGCATCCACATCCCATCCACATCCACATCCTCAATCCCGAGTCGCTAAAACTTGAAAGCCGCATTCGATGGCTCGCCGCTGACAGCGCGGAATTGTCGTTCGCATTGTCAGCTGGAATGGGCGGAGGGGGGCGGGGCCGGGGTTTATCCACCGACTTTTGCCGACGATATACAAAAGATGCAACTGTCGCTGCTTGTTGCAGCAGTTGTTTCTGCTTTCTGTAGCTGCCCAGGTTGACAGTTGCTGTAAGAGCAAAAAATGCGCTTGGGAAACTGCAACTGCCACTGCCGCTGCCACCGCGAGCTGGCTTAAATCAAATATTGAAATGCCTCAGAGCAGATCGGCGACCCTGACCTCCCATTCCAGCTAATTGCCCCACACATGAGCCAAATAATTGCCCCACCAGCTTCACCAGCCCCATCGTACAAATAAATTCCACTTTAGTCTTATTTTTTTTTTGTAATTTTTTTACTCATTGTCGTTTTCTGTTTTTTATTGATTTGTTTTCGATTGCATTCGCATTTTTCTGCTCGCTTTTTTGTTTCTTGTTTTCCTTCGCATTAATACTTTACAAAATTGAATGTCTATGAGCTAGTATAAATTAATTAAATATTATATTCATATCGAGCTATTTGTATACTTAGTTTAACTAGCCAGCTAAGTGAATTTAATTAATTAGTAATACCTACAATGAGGGTGGTGGGGGAGAACGCACAACCGAAAGGCCAAGGGGAGATAAATTAAATGCGTTTACAAAAAAAAATATTTCGTGTGCAAAATTTCATAAATTCCAAGCAACTAAAATCTTTCTCTGTATTTCGTGGGGTTGGTCTGAATTTATCCTAAAACTTAAAGTTAATTTAAACGTATTTATGTACACAAAAGTAATTTTTTTCTTTTTATGACCTGGCTAAGAAGGGGAAACTTTAATTGGAATTTTTAGTTACGCATTCCAATTGTTTTCCAGCCCTGGTAACAGATTTTCTTAAAGGATTCTACCGCCCACTTCACATACGTTTTGGTCCTGGCCAAAGCAGTACGCAAGCAGTTCAAGCAGTGTTCGCTAAAGAGAAGGAAAGAGCAGCGCGCTATTTGAATTTTCAGTCTTGTTTTCAATGATTTAAAAAGGATTTAAACGACAGAGAGGGAATTAAGCAGAAAGGGACGCGCTTTGAAAACTTTAATCTAGACTAAATTAACTTTAATTACTAACTATCATCGAGGGGTACAAAAATGGGGCTTTGTAATTTACAAAATATTTTGCTTCGATTGGGAGCTGTCTTACATGACTAAAAACTGGGCAAACACATGTTGTATTCCTCACTTTTTCTTGAAATCTATTCGTTAATATTCCTCGTGTAATACTGCTAGAAAAAAGTGAGAGTTAAAGGGGGGGCTTTCAGATGGGCGTTAGTCGTATCTTTAACTAGGCTATAGTCTAGGCTCTTAAGGTGCTAATAACAAAGGCTAAGCGTAGACAAAATACATAACACATACAAAGAATGAAGGGAGGGGTTACTGTAGAGGGCGGTGGCTTTGAGGCGGGGCAGTGTCGCCTTACAGACACGTGTAGATGACCTTCTTGGTCCGACACAGCTTGCACTTGACCTCGCAGCACCAGTGGAAGGTGCAGGCGCACCGCTCCACCACGACGACCTCGTCGCGCCGATAGCCACGCCCACAGCACATCAGCCCACATCCGTCGACGCCCAGCGAGGTCTCGTTGCACTGGCGCCCATGGGTGCCCAGGATGCCGTGTCGCAGATTCTTCTCGCAGAAGCTGGGCGAGGGCTCCAGGTAGACGAGGTCCTTGGAGCCCGGCGGCTTGTGCTCCGGATTGTGGGGGTTCAGTTGGAAGTGATATCTGTGGAGAGAAGAACAAAATGGTAAAGAGTTAGTGACGGTGTCTTATGAAGGTCTGCCATAGTGGATTTATGATATATTTTTTTTTTTAGATATAAATTTAATGAATGTTTTATTTTATTGAATTTCGAATTGCTTTCTGAATTTCAAACTTTTAAGAAATCATTCAATATTATTTGGAATAGGCAATCGACAAGACTAGTTTTCTTATTGTTTTGCATATATAATATTTCGATCCTTACCTATTATGTTTGCGACCCTGGCGACGTCCATTTCGTCCTCCCCTTTGACCAGCCTGTGGCAAACTGTTGGGCGACGGCATGTTCGGGTGATGGATCTTGCTGATCGGATGGCTGTTCTCCAGCAGGATATCCGGCATGTGGTCGTTCAGCATGCGCTCCTCCTCCTCGCCGTAGACCACCGACTGGGGTAGAATCAGGCCGTTGGAGCCCGCTGAATTCGAGCCAGCAGCATTTGGACTTACGGCGGCCAAACCATTTGTGGCCCGCAGACTGTTGGTCACCTGGACGCGGGTGGCTCCGTCAAAGCGGGCCTTCAGATTGTCGCCGATCACACGGAAGTTGGCCAGTCGCATCCAGCAGGTCTTCACTGTACACGAGCCGGACATTCCATGGCACTTGCACTCCTGTCGCATCTCCGCCTGGACGTGCTGTAGATCGAAAAAGAGCGGGGAGAGATTGTTCATTAGTATGACTTTATTAGGCTTCTCTTCTTGCGAATCGACTCGCAATATGTTTTTCACTTAATTATTTTGCTGTTTTTTTGCTTGGTCGGCTGTTGTTTTTGCTGGATGGCTGACTGGCTGGGAGATTGGCGGCCCGCCTGCCACGTTGTTGCAGTTATTAAAAATCAATAAATGTTGTTGCAACTTGCTGTGCGCTTGTTGCATGTCCCCCCGAAGTTGCCGGTTGTAATTGTTGTGCGCGGACCAAAAGTAAGAAATCAACGCAGTTGGGGGGCCTTCAGTTAGTTCGGTTAGCAGTCGCAGCAGCAGCCGCAGCAGCCCGGCGATCATCATCATCATGCTGATCGCAATGATTATGGCGCTGCGGCCCATAACAAGTAATAAAATAATAACACAGACGGTGGGCCCTGCTCCCCAAAGGCGGAGGTAGGAGGCCGCGAGGACTAGGCCCGGATCCGGGGATCGGTTGGCTCTAGCTGGATGCCCTGAATGCTGCATGTTGGTTGTTGGTTGTTGGCGCAGTGTGCTACTTTCTACGCCCCACTAAAACGGACAGCGGGAGTGGCGATGCACAGTGGATTGATTTGACCAGCTTGCTTAGCAAAAAGGTGTATTTGGTTTAGTTGAATTAATAACCGATTAAAGTGTGTAAAGTTCCAAGGATAGAACATTTGGTATAAAGACCATGAAGGGTGTTAGAAATTAAACTTCAATATTTTTTCATATTGCCTATGAATTTTAATTACTTCTCTAAAATATTCCTAAAACTTCCACTGTGCAGCTGCCCCCAAAACTAAAGTCCTACGATTTTCTGGCTTGTGGAGGGGAACTGGAAGCTGTCAACGAGTTAATATACGAGCGACACAAGCGCAAACGAGTGCAGAAATCCCAATCCCCCCACATTCCCGGTAGAAGGAGACGGCTAGAGGGGGAGCAAAAGAGAGGGCGCGAGCAGCTAGGCCAATTGGCGTTCGGCTCCAATTAATTGGGGGGACGGAAATTGTCGTCGCTGGTTTTTATTAGCGCTACAGTCGTAAATCCCCCAGCCAGGCTTAAACCGAACATTAGGACTACTTATTACGAGTTATGCAGAGAGAAAAATTATATAAAATAAAGCCAAGTTGAAAAGAAAGAAATGTTAATATAACTATAGTTAATTGGCTTGTTTTTCTATAATTTTCTTCTGTGTATTTGAGATATGAAGCTGAACTTACCGCTCGACCCGCCTCGTTGTTGTGCAGATTCATCTTCTCGCGCAGATTGCGACCCCTCTCGCCAGTATCGACGAACTCCCGGGAGAACTTGAATCCGAATCCGATGTTGTCGGAGCAGCCGCCCCACTCCCAATCCCGCACACCGGCCACACTGCCCGCCTGGTGGTTGGCTTGTGGGGATCGCGACTGGTGGCTGTAGTCGCAGGTGCAGGACTCAATGGTCCCTTCACTGCAGGCCCTGGCGATCGAGTGGGTCACTGCCGCACTGGTGATGGCATAGATGAAGCTAGTCTCTCGGCAGCCTGAAAAGAAGAAAAAGAAAATTAAAATATTTTATACAAAATAAGATAAATATAATATGTTATTCGATGCCTTAAAAATAACAAATCATCAGTTTTATTCTCTGTGCAGTCATTATTTTCGCCTTCTGGGTGTTCCACTTGGCACCGAAGACCAATACCGCGACCAAGGCAAGATCTCAATCTTGGCCAAGTGAAGTGATGGCCGGAGACGTCGTGGGCAAGAGCTGAAATTTTCGTTATGAGTAATGGCACTTGTCTTCCAAAGCCTGGTCAATTATGACACTTCAAGTTATCAATGCCACGATGCCACGGCGGAAAAGAGATGAGCGCACCAAAACCTGACACAGATTAAACGCTCAACTATAAATTCCAACTTAACACTTTGGGCCCATCTCTGCACAATCCATTCGAGTGGACAGTTTCCCCCTTGTGCGCTTTACTTTTATTTTTCATTTTCATTTTTATTTTTATTTTTAGTAACTGCCTCCGTATGCAGCCGTTTCTGTTTCTGTTTCGGTCTCTGTTCTGAGAGCGAGACCATCACAGATAAAGAACAATGAAAATTGAATTTACATGTTGCAGATAATTTTTCAAGTGGTTTCGCCCGGTTCATAGCCCAAGATATGATATATGGGGATGGTCTCGGCGGTCAGGTAGCTGAAAATGCTTGAGTAGGACCTTGTCAACCTTGTTTGGAATTTTCAGTTGCGTTTTGGAGAGTGTAAAGTACTTGAAATATACGAGTTTGTATCTTAAATTTGTATCGTAATTTAATTAAAATTGTTAAGTTTTTGAATTTTGATCTAACAAATTTTCACTGGTTTTAAAATGTTCCAAAGGAATCCTAAAATTACTGTGGGCTTTATTTTTGTTTAGGTGTTGATTGATGTATCTATGATTGACTAGTCTGCACTCGACGATTGACATATTATCGCGCTCTCCATATCAACGAAGACAACTTCCGCTTGGTGTTAAAATTTTTCCGCTTTTGATTTCGATTTCCTGGAATTCGACCACGAAATAATTTGTGTTTTTCTTGTCGAAACTATGGCAGAGTGAGACTTCAATTCCCGGTTAATGTTTGTTTGTTTGTTGTTGGTGGTTTCGGTTTCGGTTTTCCTTAAATAATTTCACGTATGTAACGAAATTTAAGGCGCACACAGGTAAATTGTGTGTAAATATGTGCAAGATGTTTGGGCCGCGATAAAGCGGCGGCGCATGCGCAAACGGTTCGGGAATCGCAGGGGCGGGGGTGTGAGGAGGGGTTGGGATCGGGGGCGGTGGATCAGAGGCGTGACACAGTCATTGGTGACTTTGTTTCCTTTTTACTTTTATTTTTTGTTTTTTGGTGATTAGCTTAGCAAGAATTCGCGTTACCTTTTGGAAGCGAAATGTTGTTTGCATTTCGTACTCTCCTTTTGTGGTTTTATGTGTAAATAGCGAACAAAAGATAATAAATGCGATATGTGAAATGTGGAATAAAAAGCGGGGCTGGTGCACCTTGAGCAATTAGGCAAAGAAAGGGTGTGGCCAAAATGGAGCAACCAAAAAATAAATTTCCGCATGTAATGCGATACGTTTTCGAGTTCTTTCTGTTTTATATAATTGCCAAAACGGATTTCCGTTGTGCGGGGGCGTGTCCCGAGCTGATTGAAATTGAGAGCAGGATGAAAATCAGAAGCAGGCTTCTGAACTGATCCTCAGATCAGAACAGAACAGCTCATCTCGGGGTTAAGCTGCTTAGTGACAGCAGCGTCAGCAGTTCCCGGAATAGTTTAGACCTCTTGATATAAAACCCACAGGGACATTGGGACACCCGGGGCGGCTTCGTCACGAACCGATGATTGCCAAAAAGTAAAAGAAACCTCTACGAGGAACCCAACGAGAATTCACTAATAGAGACGGCCTGTTAAAGCGTGTGGCGTGGCAAATTGACAAGGTGTCACCAATTAGAAAACAAGTTAGGCCAGCCCTAGGACTTAAATTGAAATGAAGACAAGACAGGAATTTATGTGTGCCCCGCTGGCAGGGTTTCTTCTCTTTTTTTCCTAGTTTCCTTCAGTTTTAAAGCCACTGGATGCGCTACCAGAGACCAAAGACCAAAGACCAAACCTGAACTCGAACTCGAACCCCAAGTGTTAATGGTGCGCTTTAGGTGTTAATTAGGGCCAAGGGCACGGCACAGCAAATACATTAAAAATTTGATTGTGGAAAGCGATGAAAGTGCTGCGATAAAAAGCTGTCACCAGGGCAATAATTTTCCTTTTCTTTTTAAGTATTCCATAAAATGTCGAGAGCTCATAAAAAGGATGTTGGCGGAGAGTCAAAATAACTTGATAAGGTCAAGAGCCTGGCTATAAAAGTCAGCTGCCGTTGACAGACGGACGCGAGGGAATCGGGGTATCGAAGACACGCGACGCCGGCCACGCCCACTATATATATATACATATATATCAGGTAGTTTCAGGATGGGATCTTTGGGAAAACAGGACAAAACAGTAGCTAATAAAACGGCAGGCGAGGGCGGGAGTCGTATGGATTTCCAGCTAAAAACGCGCCAGGACAAAAACTGCGCATGCGCGACTTTTGTTTACATTTATATAAGAACAACTAGGCAGTCCTCCTGGGACTTTGCCGGCCCAGCAGGCGAACTAAACTCCCCGAAGACAAGCACGTTTGATTGATTTGAATGGCCAAGTGAGTGAGTGAGTGAGTGACAACAGTGGCTCAGTGGTTCCAGTGGTGCTGCCAACTTGTGCTCATTAGCATAAACACGCTGAAACCGAAACGCAAGTGGAGCAAGTGCAGCGAGCACAGAGCCAGCTCTTTGTTCCCCAGATCATCCGGCCGTCCAGGGGAAAGTGGCCCCTTCAAAAGGGTAGTCAACCCATATATATAAAATATACATATTACCAAGTGCTCAGATCGTATTACAATAACAAACAAGCGCCACATATAAGACCGAGGTCCAGGGGAGTGACATTTCTTAACATAAATAAAGAGCCGGTCGAAGGGAAAAACTGGATTCGAGCTGGGTTATGCAAGCAATTTGTGTGGCAGCCTTGTTTTCTAGTAGTTAGCAAGAGAAGAACCGAGGGCGTTGACAACAATAGATCTGTAGATCATATTTCCCATGGTAAAAATAGGTCTTAAGTGAGTTGGAAGGACCAGCGAAGGAAATCAAGTTTTTTTAAATCGTTTTTAAAATCATACTAAAATTATGTTTTATTGTAACTTAGATTAGTAATAAACTCACCTCGATCAACGATTTTGCCGAATAGGTTCTTGCCCCTCGAGAAGTTTCTCGTCGAGCAGTTCCAGCGACGATTCCTGAACTGGTGCTGGCACTCGCTGATGGCCAAATTGGCGCCTTTCACCAGGGCTCCCAAGACACCGGGATTATCCCTGACCAGGCGACGCTGTTTTCTCCTCAACGTGGAGTGGATGGCCGGATCCATGTACATAATGGGCGTTATATTGTTGGGTTCGCCGACCTTGGCAATGCCCCTGAAAGAAAATGAACCAGAAAAACCGAAAGTTAATAGAGCAATCTTTGGAAAGAGGTTGTCAAAACTATTAAATGCTTGGCTGGGTTTTGCGCCTAATTATGAGAACGAGAACGAAGGAACCGAGGATTTCCACCAGCTGAAGCGATTCAAGTTTTTTGTCATATTTTCCAGGGGTCTATGTGTCTTTCCACTTGACTTGAGATCGAGCTGTTTTTCTTTTGCCTGTGCGTATTATTTTTTCGGTTTTTCATTTTGCGGCTTTTCTGTGTCGTTTCAATTTCGAGTATTTGTTGTCTCTGTTTCTGGGCGGTATACGTCAATTGCCGGCGTTACTCAAGCATAAACCACTCGCACACGAATATATGGGGTATTAGGTACACTCACATGGAGATGGACAAATATTTGCAGACACCTGTCGGCTAACGCTTTGCTCCTCTTTGACCTGTCATAATTTATTTTCTTGTTTCAATTGTTTATCGTTATAATACTTTTTCCACGCTTCATTAGCAGCCACACATATAGATATATATTTATTTATGCACATAACAAACAATAAACAAACATAACAAATGTTTATTGACAGCTCGCGGAGAATGCAAATTAATTGCCAATTCAATTGAATGCTGATTGCGGTGGGAACAAAACGTTGCGCAATGCAACGAAAATTAATAAAAGTACGTAAATAAAACAAAAACTTGATCGAAAGTGTAACATCTGCGGGGATCCGAGGGGCACTGATTGCCAATCGATTTCAATTCCCAGGCGGATTAAATCGATGCCCCAAACAGAGATTTATGCGACGGCAATCCGAAGTCGCAACCACAATTTGTGTCAATGTGTTCGCTTGTGTGCTTCTTTTTAATGTATTTGTGTTGATTTTTTATTGTTGAGGCTGAAATTTATGCCGTTATAAAAAGTTATTAGGGTTTAGCTGAAGTTTTGCACATGATAAAAGTCAAACAAACAACTCATCAAAGCCAGAGAATTTCTGGGAGCTGGGTAACAAATAATAGCAATAACAAATACCAGATAGTGGTTAAATATTTGACTTTAAACATTTATGATTGAGGCTTACTCATAACGTTTAAAGCCTTACTAAATTATCAAAATAAAAAATATATGTATATGTGAAATTCACTTATTTCAGCTTGTTCCCAGTTAGCACTACTTTAAACCAATTTCACACTCTTGAAAATTCTTTGTTAAATTGTTCTAGTTTAAATCTTAATTTTTCGAAAACCCAAACAAAAGACTTAGGCAACGAACTTGATTGCTGCTACTGGAAAAAATGCTGCTTGAACTCTGCGGTAGATCGGAAAGTCTTGACTTCCTTATCGATGCCCCCTCTTCGGGTCTCTTTATTGCCCCTCCGCCATTCACCCAAAAGCCTATTCATATCTTAAACTGTGTCACACACACACAAAGTTTATCCCGAGTAAAAGTTGAATGCGCGCTTAGAATTTTTAATTGCTTTCATCAGGCGAGGAGAAGATGAGCACAAGTTGAGGAGAAGTCGCAGCTTTATTTCACTTTTTTAGTGTGTGTGCATTTTGTGGCTTCCGCATTTGGTGCGTGACGCACAAGACCTTTAAAGTGTTTTTTTTATTTTTTTTTTTTTGTTTGTGGCTGTGGGAAATGTTTCTCGAAAACTTTCGGCGCGTGCCTTGTTGTTGTTCTGTCTGACTTATGTCTCGGTTTTTCAACTTTTTCCCCGGCTGCTGTTTGCTGTTTTTATTGTCGCCCGCCCGCTAATTGCCCAATTTAATGGAAAATATTCAATGGACTTACCACCACATGGATCCCCGGCCCCTTCCGGATTTCTGTTTGCCCTCGACTTGGCTCAGACCGCTGCCGCTGCTGCACAGGGCCATCAGGCAGATCACGAAGATATAGCTGATATCCATTTTTTACTGTTTGGCTGCTGGCTGCTGGCTGTTGGCTTTTTGGCTGCTCGACAACACACACTCTCACTAAACACACTGGGTATTATTTTTCCCTTCGAGTTGTTGTTTGTTTGCGAATGGTTAGGGTGTATTGATTTTATCGAGCAATTTCGCGTTCAATTAGCGCACTATAAATGAGGCATAATCATCATTAGCATGCGCATGCCGATATTACTGCTCATATTTGTGCGATTAATTCCGATGGATCACACGGCAATCATGGGACACAACAAGAACTTGTGAGTTTTCCACGCAGAAATCCGTTTGTATCTTGAATTCGGCCGTTTCGATAGAACACTCTCGGCTCGCTCTAGTTATATTGGGTGGTTATAGATCGGTGGATCGGTAGATCGCGACGATTCGAGCGGAGGAGTGAAGATTGTTGCCCGGTTCAGTGCCAACGCTTAACTGAAACAAACGGTGCGTTCTTTCGTCCGACTCTGCGTTTGTCAGCAGCGACCCGAGATCCCCGATCCGATCGCATCGTCGGTCTTCGGGCTCACACACGATCGCCGGCCCGGCTGGTGTGTGTGTGCGAGTGGGGCGGAGCTATCCTTCGCCTGCCATTCGTTTCGCCTTCGCCAGAGCAGCCCCGCTATATGTGCCGCATCGTTCTCGTTTTCTCTGTCTTCGTGCTCGTTCCGTATGTGTTACGCTTTCGGATGTGTGTGCGGTACATAGCCCGCTTCGCCCAATAAGAAATGGCGGAAATGGAAAAACTCTGCCCGGCATTTTCGGTGTAATCGATTGTATTGCCGGATTATTTGCGCAATCTCATGAAATTTCGTCATAGCGCCGACTGCATTTAATTATATTTATTTGTCGCAATTTTTTCGCCTATTTTTGGGATTGGTTTTCATGGGTGTTTCGATACGCTTACTGTTCGACTAATAAAGGGTTTGAGCTATTATTTTCGGTTGTTGGGGAAGGTTTTTAACCTTTGCTTGTGGTTTTATTGCTGGTGAAGCAAAATAAACTCGAAAAATAAATGTTTTATATCGGTCTTAAATTAAATGATTAACAAGTTTATTAATGAGGTGGTGTTTTAAGGTTGCATTGTTGCATTTGTTGTTCATTTGGAATTTAATGTATTATTTGACCTTAATATTATGAATTTTATTATACTTTTTCGAAGTATGTATTTTTTTGTTAAAAATTATTATTTTTAATTTATTTTTAATGTTTGCTTATTTCATAAGCAACGTTTTAAAAGTTTTCTACATTAACTTTATCTTCTCATTCCCCAAGCACTCCCATACGTTGGCCAGTTCAGAACAAGTTTTCTGCTGCTTTTCGGAGTAGATTTCGGAGTAGAGTTATATACTTGGCTCGAATGCAGCCAGCTCCCTCGCTCTCAGTCGATTGTTAGCACACACACTGACATTCCGAGCTGAGTTTATGTCTTACCTTTTCCTCATCCATTGCTTGTCTGCTTCCACTAATTGGACAGTGTGTGCAGCTCAAAAAGAGCAGGTATCCCCCACCTTATATCATAAAGTCTTTCCCCACCTTCCAAAGGCTCATCTTTTCTGTCCGATCTTTCGGCCATTTTCAATGAATTACACATTTATTCGCCGTTCAGATCATGTCAAAACTGTTAATAAATGATTATAATATATATTTCCATTTATATTTAATAATCTATAAACAAAAACAGGAAGAACGTTTTCTAGCCGAACAAAATGGCGAACAGAAAGAGTTCCAATTTCGGTTTAGGCCAAAAATCCCTTGGCAAATATTAGCACAGTCTGGGCGCTGAAAAAGAGTTAGAGGAAAAGGGTGGAGGAGTTGCAGGAAATTGTGTATGTTTATTTGCTTAGGCCCCGGGGCCTGAAAAATTAGCGCGTTCTTATTAATTTTATTGCCGCGGAAAATCCAAATGATGAGACACACACGCACTGCCAGACATTCTCGGCGAGTGAGTAAGAACAGAAGGCTGGAATGTAAATAAATCATAAAATCTAAACCCCTCTCTCTCTGCTGTAGGTAGCGATCACCTCTCTTCTCGTCCCACTCGCTTTCGGAGGTTGTAAAAATAACCCGAATCGCCAGACCTACTAAAGTCTGGTGGGTCTATTCATTAACTAATGGCAGATAGCGAGAGTGGTGGTAATTTCTTTACGATAAGCAATCATCTGGCGTAATTAAAAAAATATTTTAGAACGAGGATAATAATTTAAGACTAATGGTGTTTTAAATAATATAAATAATAATATAATAAAAAAATAAAAAAAATTGTGGAACTCCAGATGAATTTAAGATAAAAATTGTAATTCCTTTCATGCTGGACTTTATTCCAAATTAAAATTGTCGGAAGTCCCTCTCTTGTTAGTTTCCTGTTTAGGAAATAAAGACATACCCATATATTTATTTTTCTAACCAGCACTCTCTGCATAATTGCTGTTGGCACTGTTAGTGCTAAGTTCGTATTTTGGTTGGCCAATACAAAACAGGTCGTAACAAATTCGAGGCTAACCGAGAGCCGACCTTCAATGAGATATGGCTAATCCATCAAAGTAATATCTATCCGTAAAACAACGCCACAACAATTCTAAACAAACCAAAACCGATCGAAGTCCAAAACCCCCGAGAGTTTCGACCTTGAAGTGAACCAAATATTTTCCAACCGACCGATGTGTGTCCTTGAACATTTGTTGAAGGTCTACGATTTGGTCAACCAACAAGGAGCTGGGACTCTGAGGAGTTTCCCAAACTCAGGTGATTAGAAAACAAGTCGAAAAGTCAAACTTTTGTTGGGTTGCATTTGCATTGGCATTTCCATAACCATATCCATTTCGTAGCACCTTCCTTGCAGGGGGAGTTGTTTCACTAAAGTGTAAAATCTCGGCTCATAATTGCAAATAATCGCCTGAGATGAAGCGCGACTAAAACGCTGGAGGCGGGGGGCGTGGTCCTGTACCTGGCAGCAGGCAGACTTCCCACTTCCCTGCTAATCGCTCACAATCGGAATTTATATGGTCGGCAATCATTTGGCATCATTTGCAACTTTGCGTCTGGGACTCCGACTCTGCACTCCTCTTCTCCCCTCTCCCTTTTTTTTCGATTTTGTCCCTCTGAATATGTAGTTGTCAAGCATTTCCGCATTAGCCACGCTGTGTCCTGTCAGCAAAATTGGTAAAATCAGCAGCAGCAGCTACGGCCACTGGCCAGGGGTCATAGGTCAGCACCGATCGCCGCATGACTCTGCTGGGCCCGTTTCGTCCCTCGCAGGGTGTGAAAATTGCTTCCAAATAAAAATTTGCAACACTACGACTTTATGGGCCTCCTGTTTCTCAAACAGCTAATGTGCCGTGCAAAAATGCTACGCTTCGATCGGGATCGGTATTGGAAATTGGAAATCAGGATCCGGGGTTCCAGGGTTCTAGGGTTCTAGGTTCAGGTTAAGGTCCCGTGATCATTGCTGCGATCATGGACAGCTCGCGATCGGAGGAGATCGTCCTCCCCTGATCTTCAGCTGAGCGTGTCGTGTCTTTGTTGATGGAAAACAGTCGGGCACTTGCTGTGTGTCTTCTGCATGTTTTATTGCACTCGATTTTACGCTCAAATCTGCTGCAGAGATCGGTGCAGATGATCGGCCAGAGATCGATATTGATCGAGCCTAATGGGCATGACATGAGACGATTAACCCGCTGCAAATGGTTGTAAATGTTTGCTCTGGCTCTTATAGAGGATCAACACGATCAGGGGTTATTTTGGTCATAATTGGGGAGTGAAATGAGTGCATTTAGCCCTAGTTTTCAAATAATCTATTATTTTAGTGCTTTATATGTTTTTAGAGTGTTTTTTATACAATTTTTGATAATCAACATTTTCAGTGTTTTATTTTTTTGTGGGAGCGAATTTATTGTGTACGTTTTTAATTCCTAGAATAAAATTCTATTTTTCCTAAGCATTGTGAATTTTTTGTCGTGAACATTAAGTAGTGGGTTCTACATATTTTTAAGCATTTTTAAGTTATTTTACTAAATTTACTAAAGTTTTTCATGCCTAAAAATAAATATTTAAATTGAGACAAATATTCATTACACAGAATTAAACCTCAGCATATTCTGCTTCCTAAGCGTAAATTATTAGAAAATTCAACCCAAGATCTCAAGATCAGCTCTGCTAGCCATCTAAGCCCCGATAATTCAGGCTACCCAGCTGCAGCCTGAAAATTGCTCAACACTCTTGGCCATAACAACCACCAATGGCCAACTCCAGATTCCAGATTCGAGACCCTGGCTTTGCGTGCTCTCCACTCCCACTCTGCCGATGCTACGATTCTGATGCCTTGGCCTGCCATTGATGACTCCACATAATTTGCTCTTGCCCACTTTTTCACTTCCAAGAAGTGGAATGAGGATGGACATGGACGGAGGGGCGAATGTATATGGGTAAGATTTGAAAATAAGCCATAATCAACGCCATCATCATCATCATCGGCAGTGGCAGGGGAAGGGGCATCCAACCATCGATGATGGTGGTCGGATGGTTGGTCTGTGGACGTCAGCCAATAAGGTAAGAGGTTTGGCCCGGTCCACCCCTCCCACCACCTCGCGCCGTGCAACAAAAACAACAGTTACCACTAACCAACTGTTGGTTCTCTTACCGCTCGAGGCGTTAATATTTTTTCTGGCCAGGTCCGCTTTAGGTTCCCACTCCCATTCCCATGCCATTCCTTTCCTTTCCCTCGTTGCGTGTCTTTCTCTTTCGCTGGGAGGTCCATTTGGTTGTTAACTTCACTCCACTACTAAACAATAAATTTTGTTGCCTTTGCTGGCTGTTCGACATGGTTCACGCACTTTAGGCCAAAATATGCCACTAATAACTACCGAAAATGGCTGTTGGACCCGAAAGAAACTCCAAAAAGTTGAGAAAAATGGGCGTTTAGTTACGCTTTGATGACAGTGTAGAATTTCGGGGTCCGACAATTTATATTTCCCGTTCCCCCGTCAGCGAAAGGAAAAGGTGGCGGCCAGTTT